GAACAGCCAGGTCTTGACGGCTTTGCGGAAAGCCTGAAGGGTGGTGAGGGTCCGAATCTCCACGGGGAGATTGTTCCAGAGGGCTGGAGCAGCCATAGAGAAGGCCCTCCCCCTCCAATCTACACTTTTAGATTTCTAATATATGAAGCAGAATTAAAAAATGAAGAAATGTATTTTATTAAAATATTATCTTGCCATCTTTGGATGTTATGTAATTTAACTGGCTAGTTTTGCTAAATACGATATATAACTTTGATGCTTCTGTTTAATGTAGATGATGGTCGGACAAGACCAATTCCACGCAAGGGCCATCTTGAGAGTTTTGAGCCTGTAGACAACAAATGTCTTCTTAGAGCCACAGATGGGAAGAAAAAAATAAGCACAGTGGTAGGTGCTATTCTTTTATGAAAGGATGTTTTTTCACCATTGAATTTTTATTTAAGTGGGGGAGAAAGACTTTATATAAAATGGGTAATGAGGTTTTTTTATGTATTTCAAGATACAGGCTGACTTTTACCCTCAAGGTAGCTAATAACACTTTAAAATTAAATGTAGGCAATTACCAAAAACGGAGTAATCAAGTTCAAAGGAATTAAAAGGTCTAGAAAGAGAAATGCTTTCAACGCTTCCTAAAGCAGTATGAGCGGAGGATATACAGCTTATTCAGTAGATTAACCTGTGGAGTACCTATCTTTAAGAGGCATGGTTATTGACTAGTGAATTGTTCTTAATGAATAGTGATTAAGATCAATACAAAGAAAGTTGGGGTTGACTAGTCTTGTTAGATGGGTTGGACTGAGAAAATATGACTTACCCATATGACTTTCTACCTAAAGGAAACCTAGGATTCACTTTCCTGGTTTTTAGCCCATCACTTAACCAATGCACCAAAGCTAGTACATAAAGTATAAATTCTTATCTGAATTTTGTGATCAGCAGAACCAGCTGTTTTTGAATATATTGGTTCATCATCCCATAATTCTATCATGAAATTGATTTCTTATAGGTGAGTTCAAGGGAAGTTAACAAATTCCAGATGGTAAGTTTGTATCTATTCATTTAGACGTCAAATTTTTAATCAATTTTAATTTTTACACTGAATGCATGACTAACTAGAACCCTATAGAAATGTGTAGCTGCTTTCTCTCAGCAAATATTAGCAGTTTCCTGAAACTTGGGTTTTTTTAAAAAAATATCTTGTTTTTGATTGCAGGCATATTCAAATTTGATTAGAGCCAATATGGATGGTTTAAAGAAGAAAGACAAGAAAAGCAAAAACAAGAAAAGTAAAGCAACACAATGATATAAAAAACATTTCTCCAAAGGATGGACCCATGTTTTACCCCACATTTTTCTTTATGTAACCACTTACCTTTTGACTAATAACTGAATTTACCAACTAGTAATTGAAGAGTAAGCTTCTTGTACAGAGAATGCTCTCAGGATTGTGATACACAAAAATAAATATCTCTAATGCATAAATTTACGCACCTGATTTGTTTCATATCTTTGACTTGTTTCAATAAGTGAATTACTGGAATATCTTTACTCAGAAAAATAATTTTGATGTAACTAGTATCTGAAAATTTTTTATAAGTAGAATGAAGGTTGAGAATGAATTTCAGTTCTGGCTTTGCTTTATTGTATTTCACTTGACCTTTAGTAAACTATATTTTCTCAGCAAGAAACAAGAGGATTATAATTAGAAATATGCATCTTATCATAGTTACATAAGTGAATTTGATCCATAGCTATAGATATTTTTCTTTAATTAAAAAATGTAGCTGTTTGACTGTATATTCCTGTACAGGTTTTTTTCAACTAAACAAAACTTGGCCATTAAAATATTGGGAAAATGTGATATTCAGGGAAACCTGGTCAGCTGAAGAGCCATTTTAAAGAACCTAACTGGTTAAGCAAACTCACATTCAGTTGACCCCTATGATCAATAGATTCAAATGATTGATGCTCCAATAGAAGTATCTTTATACTTAGTAATTCTGTAGTTTTATGTTAAATGTTGTATGAATAATGAACTAGCTTGTGCCTTTACACTGAATGGAGAAAAATCTCATCTAAAAGATTTTAGGCTGAAAGGTACAGTATTTAAAAGTCAATTTCTGAGATATCGGACCTACATATAATCAATCTAGGTAGTAAGCAAAGACAATCAAAATACAAGAAAAATTGTCAAAACTTCCACCGCATCTCTGCACTCACTGATCACCCAGTTCCAGTCCGCCATTAACCTTGTGGGCAGAGAGGAAGTAGTAGTGCCTGGAGGGGGGGGGGAGTGAAAGTTAAGAAATGAAGGTGCCTCTCCCAGACAGCCTTTCAAAGTCAGAGAAGAATGCAGCTGCAAGCCAGCCAACCATAGGAGTGAACGATTCAAAAATATATTGGAAATTGATTGGACAATGAAGGGGCCCAGGATTGGGAAGTGCCCAAGGTTCAAATTGAGGCAGGACTGACAAAAATAGTTAAATAGCCAACCGGGAAGAGGAAGTTTTCCTTCTCAGATAGGCTTTTAAAAAGTAGGAATTCCATTTCATCTTTGTCGTTGGCAAAAGAAACAAACGCCCCTGCCTAGAGGTAAGTCAGAGATCCAGGAAAAATACAGCAATCTTAGGACTAATTGTTTCTTTATGAAAAAACGATAAGCAGTGCTGCCTTTCCTATACTTCGGTTTGCTTGTTCTGCTCTGTGTGTGTGTGTGTTTGTGCATATAACCGAAGGAAGAACAGCTGGGATTACCCCTTTTAGAAGTACTTATTTTTCTTTTCCTTCTTTCAGTTCTTATCTGATTTCCTTAATCTAGACATAATATCAATGATAACATTTTAAATGCTTAATGACTCAGCACTGTAATTCCTAGAAAAAAAATTACCTTAGCTCCAGGTCATTTGATTAAGTTACCCCCCCCCCCAAAAAAAAATGCTGATAGGGGAAAGGTTGCCACTGTACTGATGTCAGAGTAATTTGGGCATGCTTGCATTCATGTGCAGGCATCCCTTTTACAAATGTACAAATTACAATATTCCCTTTTTGAGAAGCAGTGCTATGCAGAGTGCATAAAAATGATAAGCCAAAAAAAATTAAAGACACAACTAAAATTAAACTTGACTAAAACCAGTTGTTTCACAAACTCCAGATTTACAAAAGCACAGTAACTACCTCCTGTCTAAGAAAAACAGGAGGTCCTAGAGAAGAGCTTAGCTGATTCTACTGAAAAATATAGATATCCAAGTGTCTCAGCCTCTTCCTTATAAATTCCTTTCAGTTCACAAAGAGGGATGACTGGAGATTATTGCTTTTCTGCTTAGCCTTCCTTCCCAATTTCAAAAGATGGAAGGAGATTCATGGACTGAACAATGAAAATTGCAGTTACTTGACTTTTTCATAACCAAATGACACAATCTCTCAATTTTACTTTAAGCAAAAACAAGTACACCCTGAGGTACCAGAAGATTATTTTATTTTGAAAAATATATGTACAACATATTTTGAAAAGATTTACACCATTAAAGATGCCAACTATGGCACATGAGCTCAACGTAATACTTAGAAAGGTAGCGATTGTCCAAGGAATGGGGAATCAGCATGTTTTCTTTATATTAATGCAAGTTTTCTTTATATTAACATAATTGGAAGCACACATTTTGTCCCATTCATTATCCTGACTTTAATCTTGACATAACTAAAACAGGATTTTGAAGTAATCGTCTTTGTAACTGTAGAGAACAAGGATAGGCACTCTGAAAGAAATAAACAGGCAGAAAGTTGAGAGAACAATCAGTTTTCATAAAAAATCCTATTGTATTTCAAATTTGTGTTAGGGTTACTCATCAGGAGATCAAATAAATTTGTCCAACAGCTATTGGACAAATTTATCTTTGTTCTACAAGATCTTCTATACCAATTGAAATCATAGTGCCATATCAGGGGTGGGTTCCTGCCAGTTCTAACCTCTTCTATAGAAGAGGTTCCACAAATCTACAGTGCCATTTAGAACCGGTTCCAGCTCCCTCCCCCCACTGGTTTGCACATCATCAAGATGAAGAACGAGAGGAGGAATTCTGGGAGTTGAAGTCCACAAGTCTTAAAGCTGTCAAGTTTGAACACCCCTGGGGTTTTTTTCTAAAGGGTTAGGGGTGCAAGTGTTTTGTAATTTGACAGCTTTAAGACTTGTGTGCTTCAAATGCCAGAGTTTCTGAGCCAACCTTTTGGTTGCTAAGCAAGAGCGTTGTTAAGTGAGTTTCACCACATTTTACAAGTTGGCCACGCCCACCCAGTCACATGGCTGGCAAGCCACTCCCACAAAACAGGCCACACCTACAGAAGAGGTTCTAAAAAATTTTGAAACCCACCACTGTGCCATATGGTTCAGCACTTCACATTATAATGGTTCCAGACTGCAGTTCCTTTACTGAATCTCACACAGGGAGAATTTAGTGGCCTTTTAATACCAGAGTCTAATGTCAGTCTTTGATACTATAGAACTCTTACAGTGTTTATACTAGGAGTGTCAAACTGGCGGTGCGTGGGCCAGATGCGTCATGCACAGGCCATGCCCACCCAAACTCTGCGAATGCGAAAAATGTTGCAAGAATGTCACGTGAAGGCAACATGACACGGTGAGTTTGCCATTCGTGGTTTATAATAATCTAAAATCTACAAAATGATCTTCCAGATTCAACCTGAGAGTCTTATACCATATTGCTAGTATGCATAGGAATACTTACTTTTTTTCTATTTTGATGGTATAAATTTCATCACAAACTTGTTTAATATATCTTTGCTTCGGCAGTCGAGACATCAATTGTTTCACAGTTGTATAGAAAGCTTGGTCATCAAACTGAGAAGATGGAAAATATTCAAAGCAACATCAGTCTGAAACAGGGACTGTGAAAAAAATAATGCTGAGAACATCAGGATGCTTTTATTTTTATTTTTTGGGAGGATGTAAATATAGACTATAATCTTTGATTTCTTGGAAAAGCAATTTACAAAAATGGGTACATTAAATGAGATTTTGCTTACTGTATATAATTAATGTTCAACTTTACTTAAGCTTTTTAAAAACTCAGTTTATTAATTAAATCCACCAGTAAAGGCCAGTAACTTAATTCCTAGATTTACCTCTAATGACAAGAAGGGTATTATAGTTTCCTTTGGAAGATCAACCTGCAAAAAATAAACACTGAATCATTACGATGATATAAACTATGAGATAGAGTTAGTCCATGTTAAATTGGGTATTGAAGAAGGCTAGATCTACATCATCCAAATTTGGGACTGTTTACCAGCACAAAAATTAACTAGATTAAATAGCCTCAAGCTCTCATTTACTGCAAGAATGCTCTGTAGTCACACAGATTCACTCATTCATACCAGATTCTGATGACCAATAAATAAATTTTCAAACTCCAACCAGAAAAGAGCTTGAAACTCTGACATTACAGGGGTTCTAAAAGAGGTTTTGGATTCCCTTCAGAATAATTGGGTCCAGGCTTGGTTAAAAAATTAATAGTTCAATGAAGACCCTAATACTGTCACTCCTTTCTCACACTGAATGCTCCATATGCCCATTATTGCCTTTTGTTGCAGGCAAATTATAGCCAATTGTTTAAAGGTTTTGGAAAGTTTCAGAACAAAGAAAGTGATTTCAATGGATTCCAGATAAATAAACAGGAAATTTACCGCCAATGAAGCAAATTGATTCCTGGAAATTATATCTGTATCTCCGATACAGCTTTAAATAGAGAGCTGTATGCAACAATACGGCTTTAAATTGAGAGCTGTATGCAACAATATTTCATTTTAATGCATGCCAATTAGTGTACTTTCAAAAAGACAATAAAGTTATTTTAAGTTCTAATTGCTGGTTTCTTATCCAGTTATTAGATTCAATTGGCTTGTAAAAAAAGCAAAGTAACTTACTGCTAAAATTTCAACTTCACTCAGTTTCAGCGGGAAATTAGTAAAGCAAGCTTGGAGTTTGGTTTGTACCTGGAAGTCACAATGGATTACAATAATTAACAAACCCTGACACAAACACACAGAGAATATTTTATTTTTACATTAAACAAATATAAAGGTTAGGTTAAAGGTTTATTGCATTTATATGCCGCCCTATTCCCGGAGGGACTCAGGCCGGCTAACAAACCCAGGGGAGGGGGGTACTACACACAAGGTAACACAACAAACAAGATACAGAGAAAAGTTTAAAAACAATTAACAGTCACACAATTCGAGCGGGGAAGGGAACTCGTCAACCCCAGGCCTGCCGGAACAGCCAGGTTTTAACGGCTTTACGGAAAGCCTGAAGGGAGGTGAGGGTCCGAATCTCTGCGGGGAGTTCGTTCCAGAGGGCCGGAGCAGCCACAGAGAAGGCCCTCTTCTGGGTGGTCGCCAATTGACATTGGCCTGTAGATGGAATCCGGAGGAGGCCTAATCTGTGGATCTAATGGGTCTTTGGGAGGTAATTGGCAGCAGGCGGTCTCTCAAGTACCCAGGTCCAATACCATGAAGGGCTTTATAAGTGATGACTAGCACCTTGAAGCGTATCCGGAGACCAATAGGCAGCCAGTGCAGCTCGCGGAGGATAGGTGTAACGTGGGTGTACCGAGGTGCACCCACAATCGCTCGCGCGGCTGCATTCTGGACAAGCTGAAGTCTCCGAATGCTCTTCAAGGGCTGCCCCATGTAGAGCGCATTGCAGTAGTCCAGTCTTGAGGTCACAAGGGCATGAGTCACTGTTGCGAGTGCCTCCCGGTTCAGGTACCTGTTATACCTGTTAACTGTTCTTAATGCAAAAGTGACATGCAGGGATTTATCTTCACATTTACTGAGATAAACAGAGGGAGAAGGGGGTGCACTCTCAATTCCATTTTTGAAATCCCTATACTCATGGAGTTCTTTCTTTTCATCTCCTTTTCCAGCTTAATGAGGGAAAGCCACACCTGGTCTTTCTCCAATATATCCTCCTGGAGTGATTTCTTACAGTGGCCGCCTTATTCCTGGATTTAACTAAGAAATCTCTTTTGAAAGCTACAGCAAAAGGCAGTGTATTTTTCTTTCCCAAAAAGAAAATCAATTCCAGGTTTTCTTCTTTTATCCAATTGTCCCCTGCACTTCCCAACCCAACTCCTGATTCTGTAATCTTCCAACTGTCTTAGAGAAATTCTTACTTAAAATCAATGAAGGAAAAGTGCTAGAAAGAAAACTTAACTTGCTTGAGGAAGGAAGAACCATTTGACTAGGAAGAGAAGCAACTATGAGAAGGAAACATTAAGAAATGCATCATGTCTCTGTGTCATTTAATCTCTCTCTCTACAAATAATAGGCCTGGAGTTAAACAAAAATTTTGTAGAGGAAAGTTTCCTGACTCAATCTTTGGAATTCAAGATAAAATCTGACTCATATCCTAAAGTGTCACTGGCAGAAAGGGTACAAAATAATGAAAAATAATGAACTAAAGGAACCAGAATTCTGCTTGCCTATTCACTATTTCTTACATTACTTTCTACTTCTGCATCATCTTTGTGGTACAGTTTCAAAGTTTCAATATAATTATTGAGAGAAGAAATACATCTATAATACCTGAGCTTCATAACGTCGTCTGGCACTTGCTGACAACTTTTCTGGTGGAAAAATGTATACATTTGGTATTACTGCCATTCCGTGTGGTTCAGACAAACCTGAAATGCAGAATGATTTAGTTAAAAGTTCCACTACTTCTTATAGGTGCACACTGGAACTGAGACTATCAAGAATTTTGTTTGAAAATCTGTCTGTACACTCATTTAGATTTTCGTTGCTGGACCAAATACAAGTATTGTAAAGGTTTGTTGTTATTATTATTCCTTTCCTTTTAAACTACCCCACATATCTTGTATGATTAAAGGCCTTATATGAATACTAATCAAAATAAAACAGTTATACATTCATTTATTTCCTTTATTCTATTTAACTACCTTGGAGGAGGACTGCTTTCCCAGTTTAATCTCCATCTCTGCTACATAAATACCAAGATCTCTGGAAATACAACACACTAGTCATTACATACCTGAATTACTGGAAAATGATCCTTTCAGATTTTGTGTTGTGACATTATCACAAATTTCTCTAAAATAGAATTCAAAAATCAAAATGTGTTATTCAGTACTGTTTTCAAAGCAACAGATTAGGACAGAAATTGATATTTTTATTAATAATTGAAAGCATTTGTACATTTATTTGTAAATAAATGCTTAAATAAAAGAACTGCTAGATTCTGGTAAAATATAATAAACAGATTACTTTTCATCATATATTAATTCAGTATCTTTGTAACATTCACAGGCTTAAATCCAGACTTAATCCTTTGTGGGATCAGGTCATTTTTCAGCATTTTCCAGCCCTAATACCAAATTGTTTCAAAAGACCTCTCAAACCTTCTACTTTAGGGAAGTCTCGAACTAATTCAGTGTATATTACAAATAAATAATTTGAATTCCATCCGATATTTACACAGGGAAGATCCCCCTCCTCCAAGCCTACAGCCCCAACTTCTATAACATTTCAGTTTAAGACATATTACAATAAAGCAAAATCACTGTATGATGCATTGTTTATAGTCTTTGAGGTGAATAACTGCAAAACCTGCATCACAACCACTTTGTTTATGGTGTATCATTTTCCTGCTGCAAATAATCCTTATTTTTCAAGTTATGGTACTTGTTGCTACCTGCTATTTCTTTCATCATAGAATTTGGTCCTCAGTTTCTGAGCCAGATGGTCCACTACATCAGACTCCAAGATTCTTTTTTCTGTCTGCCTTTCCCTTTCAAATGATTTTATCTGCAAAATAGCCCCACAAAGTGTTTTAGTCTTTATAAATCTGCTAAATCTAAATAATGAATTATCAGATTTAAATCAGAAATGGATGAGATGCAAGTAAATGATTCCTTAAAAAAAACAGCAGCCTTAAGGATTAAGCCAACAATTTTTTTTCTGCAAACTCCATTCCCCTTTCACTCCTCTTTTATTTCCTCTGAGGGGCAGCATTCATCGTCCACCTGTGGTCTTACTCCCAAGTTGACCCGTTCTTTAGCTGTTCCCTTTTTCTGGCAACTCTGTGCATGCGCACACTGGGAACAGGCTCCAGCTGTTTGTCTGCCTCACTGATGTCTGTCTCTGAAGGCAGCTGATAACTGGCATATGGCTCTGGGCCCCTCTCTGCCTCCGACACAGAGCCCTCATCAGAGCCTTCCCCAGACTCCGGGGTTGGGCCGTGTTCCTCCCCAACCTCCTCACTGTCTGAATCTGTTGCCAGTTCAGCTAGCGGGCTACAACAATATCTGCTCTAGTTATATTCATAAAAAACTTTCAAATAGGCATGAAAGCTTGCTGGGTGACTTTGGGCCAGTCACTCTTTCTCAGCCTAACTTGCCTCAAAGGATTTATGTTATAGGGGAAATAGGAGGAGGAAGGAGAATTAGGCACGATCTCCTTCGGTTATTCATAAAAATAAAAGTGGCATAAAATTCTAGTAAATAAATAAATGTACTGAGTGGACAGAGAGAAGAAAGGAAGTATGGTATGATGCCACCATCATATTTACCTTAACATGATTTCCTTCTTTATCATAAATGAGGGCCACATAGGTGATTCCAGAACATCTGCAATACTCCTGTAATTCTTCCTGGGACTAGCACATTGAAAAAAAGGAACAAAATTACGGTACTCTTAAATAGCTGAAAATGTTTTCAGCTGGCAGAATGCTACAGGAGGCACTCTGCCCCACCCCTCCCTTCCACTGAATTACAATGCTGATCTGGCCCTTGAAGAAATCCAGGTTGACACTCCAGTTCTAGAGCAAGTACTCAGAGCTATGGTCAGCTTGTAGGATGCCGTACTTAAAAAAAAAACCTTACAAAATTCCCACCACCTTGTAATAATAGACCGAACTGTGATTGGTGGTTTTCAAAGGTAAAGACAAGAAGTTCACAAGTGAATTTTCTGGTAGTTAAAATTTTTCCTCCTTTAATGATAACCCCAAATCTTATTTAATGTAGCTTTGCTTATTGTTCTATATCAGATGATCTTAGAAAAAGGAACGGCTATATGCAACAGAAATAATGCTAATTAATATGTAATAAATGACAACTTACCTGAGACCAGTCATACATAATTTCAGCTGCAATTCCTGCAGCCCAGAGCTTCTGAACAACGTTTATGGCTCTTTCCATAGATTTTTGGCCAACACTAACAACTAACAAATCACAGGAGCTCACTGTAAACTGGAAGAAAAGAGAAATGGAAACCAGAATATTACTTAATTGAATGGATTGTTCTGAAATCACTTAAACTAGAAAGGCAGGCAATGTTATTCTAAAGTTAAGATGTTCTTGGTCGCTTAATACGATTCATATTACAATTATGATGTTTTTGGGGATACACGAGACACCCCCCCCCCTACATCTTGGTTCTTCTGCAGAGATATATCAAGCAGTTTGAAATTACCATATCCTGGACTGTCCTCTTTTATTTGTAATTACAATTAGGTACAATTATCTACAATTAGGTAATGGAAATAGTAATGCCAATTTGAAACTGTGCTATCTCATTTTCATTATTTAGATTGCTTGAGAAAGATCTATATTTCCTACCCTTTATGGAGTCTACCTGAAATATGCAAAGTAGAAAAACAAACATACTGGCTCTTCCATATTCAAAACTGTGGAACTTATTCTGTCCACAGCTATGCTGACTCCAACAGCTGAAGGAACAAGACCAACTGCCTCTGGACCTCTGAATTGTGAAATCTGCAGAAACCAGAAAAGGAAACACGCTAGAAAATGATCAGAGACTTTTCTTATACCTAATAGGACAAATTTGTAATGCTTACCATATGATCATATCTACCTCCAGCAGCAAGAATGTCAGTAACTGTTCTTTGTCTCCGTTTAATGTATGCAATAAACTGAAATATAATTCCATTGTGCTGCTGTATTTTATAAACCAAGCCCAAATTTATGGATATCTGCAAGAGAAAATTCTTATTTCATCATTTTAATCACACCTCAGACGTGGCCAAGCCTCAAGCTACATGTGAGCCTCCTGAAATTCCTAGAGTGAGCTAAGCTAATTTTTTTGGATACACCATTTGTTTTTCTGTAGGTTTAGGCACCAATGCAGAGGTTGTGGCTACCATCTTGACTTTTTTGACTGCCCCGATCCTGTGAGGTAAACTAGTGACATCTCCTTTGCAATGATATATTTACTGACCCTTAAATACAATCAAATAATGTAGTTAAATCTGGAATTTGCTTATTTTTTGAAAAATATCCCAAGCTTCCAAACTTATACTACGTAAAATTTTACACTCAGGTTCCTCTTCCTCTATGATGTTTGAATATTCTTTATACAGTTGGCTGACCTAAAGCCCTGTAAGAAATGCTAATTGTTCTGTCCAGTAACGAATGCTGAGACAAGCTTAACTGGAATGTACTTTACTAGCAAGAAACCAAAACCTCGTGGCTGAAAGCCAAGCACAACAAACAGATAAGGACCTTGGCAGCAACTCAGACAA